GATGCGCGAACACAACACCTTTAGTGGACTGCTGAGGTACATCATAATTTTCTACAAGATATCCCTGGTTTTTTAAATAAGTTGTGGCTTCTGAAATATCTAATTTTAGATTTGAACTTCCAATAAGGTGGGCTTCCATAGGCCCGCGAACCTTATACTTAATGTTCGTTACTTCTTTACGATTTAGCTCACGAACACTTGCGCCAAGACCTAACTTGGTCGCTGCATATTCTTTGACGGCGGCCGTGATTTCTGGAGGTGAATAATTTTTTATTGCCTCATTTTCAACTAAAGTTCTGATGGCCTTTGACCGCTTTATCCTATCGTTTTCTTCCAAGGGATGCGTGTGATCAGGAGAGCCTTTATATCGTTCTACTCGGACTACTTTTGAAGTGATTAACCAAGAAACTTTAAGCTTTGCATGGCATAGACCAGAAGGTCTTGTTTTCGTTATTCGACGCTTTTCGTTTGGAACATTCTCTTTTTTTCGAGTACTTGATTCCCGGTGTTTCATAAAACGGCAGGCAAAAACCTTCCGAATATCACCATCTGCATGCTTATATGAATCCCATTTTGTCCAAATATTAGAAACTAATGGCCACCAATTATTATCAAAATCATCTATTGGAATTTCCAATAAACCCTTTACATTATAAAGTAAACATCGTTTTTCATCAGGTGAAAGATTTAAAGTTGTAACAACTAAAGGAGAAGCGTCCACAGAGGCCAAGGATATGGGCCTGATATTCATAGAGGCAACAGACATAACATCCAGCGAAGTAGTGGACATGGCGTCTGGAAAAGCAGTAGACATGACACCTGAAGAAATATCAGGCGTGATTTTCAGAGAGGTAGAAAATGTAACACTCGAAGGAGTGACAGACATAACAACCGAAAAGTAAAAAAAGTTTTTGTTTTTTTATTCTTTTTTTTCTTCTCACTAATCTCAATAAAAAAGAAAGTTAGTAAAAGTAGTACTTTCAACAATAAAACCAAATCTACTAAAATATTTACATACCAATACAAGATGCAAAAAACCAAGTCCCAGAAACCAGTGTTATAAAATATGTAAGAAAGTTTATGTTCAAAAAAATCGATTGTGCAAAAAAAAAAAAATAATTGTGCAAAAATAAAGGTTGCGCAAAAAAAAAAATAAAATAAAAAATTGCGTAAAAAAAAACAATTGCGCAAAAAAAAAAAAAAAAAAATTACGCAATAAAATGTGCTTTCTTAGAGTTTGGTTGTCAGATTAATTTCAGTTTGCGAAAAAAAAGAACCTACGAAAAAACAAAAAAATTACTTATGAACTTCATTATAAGTAACAAAAAGAAAAACACGTCATCTTACAAAGGTCAAAAAATTTCTTGC